ATGGACTTCTGCCGGCCTTTGACGCGGGCGGAGAGCGAGGTCTTCGACATTTGCTTCCCGCCGGAATCGTCATTGGATTTGAGCAAGACTAGCGTGGCAGCCACTTTGCCATTGGCGTGACGTTTTCTCGTTTTTTTTCTCTCCCCCTTTGGAACCTGTTGGAACCGTTTGGGCTCCCAACAGCCACTCTTTTCGCCCTTGAACACATGGTGTGTGTTTTGAGGGCACCATTTTTGGGTTTGTTACCCAACAACGGCCCATTTTGGGGGACCCCCGATCTGACACCTCCCATGGCCGCCTCTGAAGCCTTCTGAGGTGACCGCAGACCTGGGGGACGTGGACAGGGCCGTGGCCGTGTTCCGTGAGCACGGCTTCGTGGTGCTGCGGAACGCGCTCACGGCGGCGCAGGTGGCGGAGGTGCAGAAGGCGTGCAGCGGGTTGCATGAGGAGATCAAGAAGCAGGACCCCGAGGCGGATTGAAAAAGGGGAATAAAGGACAAGGACACTTCGCAGTGCACTACCTTTGTTTTGTCTTGAAAAGGAAGCCAAAGCGAAGTGAACCGTTTGGGGGACACATCCACAATGGAGTTAGGGGCTTGTAAATCTCCTCACGTTCGAAGTTTTGATGAGTAAGGCCCCATCCCATCCCCTTCAATGTTGGTGGTGGAATCCTCGGCAAAAGCAGATGACAGTTGCAACAGCCGGCTTGCTGCCCAGGCCAGAGGCAACCGGGACCCGGGCAGGTACTCCTTGGGGTCAGTCACGCCTTCTGGCCAGTGCTGGCATTTGAGGGGATTTCTACATCTCCTGGAGCAGCAGTTTGTGCACGCAGTCGCGGACGCGATCTTCAAAGGGCCCGAAGTGGGCTCCCGATATGTGGTGAGCGGCGCAGGAGGCGACTACTGCACAGGCGGACGTTTCCCTTTGAATGCCCATTGTGTGGTGTGGTTTGATCTTTTGATCCTGAGATTGCTTGCCCTCCTGGTCAGCGCACTGGCGCTGGGTCAAGACAAAGTAAAACTCTGCAGACCTGTTGGATCTTTTGGCTTCCGACAAGTTTTGGGTGTCTTCCTGTTCAAAGCCTTTGGGTGTTCGATTGCAAGCTTTTGTGCAGGCAGCACTGCGCATTTCCAGAAGCTGCACAGCGACATGCGGCCTGCCCAGCCACTGAAGGGCCAGGGGAAAGGCTACTTCCAGGATGCCCCCATCCATAGCAAGGAGCATCCGCCCTGCGTCGCAGTGAATTACATCATTCAGGCCAGGGTCCCATTTTTGGATTTGGTAGACTTAAGCCCACCGGTTGTTTGCAAAGCGGAAGCAGTTAAACCCCGTGGGCAAGTCTTAACCCTTCAGGAGCTCACGCCCTGGAATGGGGCGATGCGGATCGTGCCCTGGCGATCCATGCAGCAGTACTGCCAGGCGCGAAACCGGGTGGAACTTCCCGCGCCGGGCTTGGAGGAGGAGTACCGCCATTGCAGAGACTGGCTGCAATCCAAGATCTTCCCTTTGCAAGCTGGCGATTGCCTCATCCGCAGCTCATCTGAATGCAAGCCATTCTTAACAATAAACTGAGCTTCAACCTTTTAAGCTCTTTTCCGGACCGCGAAAGGCTGGCCCTCACTTTTCCACCAATGGTTGGTTCCTTTGGGAACTCTGGACTCGCAAAGCCCCTTCACATCTTCTTTTTGGGCGGCTTTGTATGAAGGTTCTCACCTTATTAGTGGAATTTTAATTTGAGAGCCTGAAGTTTTTTTAAACCAACGAATGCGGATTGAGGGGATATCCGGGTGTGGCATGGCGGGTGCCCCAACTTGTCCGGCGAAGTCCGGTTTTTGCCCAGCATGGAGCTCTGCTCCGGGGCTTACCACCGGCACCTGCAGGCAGGGATGGGCCAATGGGTTCACCCCTTCTCCCCTAGGGCCCTAGAGTCCTTTTGGGCCAAAAGGAAGGCGAGCAATGATCTGACAAACCGTGTCCTGCGCACGAGCGAGAGCTTCCGGTGAGGCCACTCACAAGACCAGCAAGCGCCTGGGGCGGTCGCTGCCTCGGGCTCTGCACCGGCAGCTCAGCTCCAACGTCCAGGCGCTTCTTGGGGGACCCCAAAATGGTTTCGGTGTTCCATTTGGTTTTCTTTAAACCAACCGCAAAACGGGTAGCAACCCCAAAAAAGAACAGACCCAAAATTAAAGAGTGCGTGTTGCCTCATGAACTCCAAAAATGGGGCCATCTTGTGTGCAAGAGCCTGTTTTCAATCCGCGCCAGGCTCTCACGGCGCATTTAGCAACCACTGGCAACCAGGAGGCTGATGCGCACATCGACGATGTGCGATGGCTCAGGAAAGACCTGGCGCAGGACATCTTGTTTTGTGAGCAACAAGAAGGCATTTTGTTGGCTGGCCGGAAGGCTCACAGCTGGTGACGCAACTTGAAAACACGGAACCCAGGAGGGCCGCAACGACAACTACCTGAGCCTGCACAATGTGATCTCGGAGGATGTGGAGGGCATGGTGAAGCATTTGCAGCGGTTGCATCGCATGAACGCTTGCAATGCCTTGCTGGAAGAGCTCGGGGCCCGCAGCCCCCACCTGCACGCGATGTTCCTGGAGTGGCGTCAGGCCGGTAGGCGATTGAGACAGAGAGTCGGAATTCGATACGCTCAGACGTAGCCCTGACATACCCCCTACTTTTGTTGAGAAGAAGATCGGTGAGAAAATCTGCCAGGTTCAGCCGCAGCCGGTGAAACCAATTGCCGTGAACCGCTGGAAGAGGGGGCGGAACAAGATGAGCCATGGGGGATATGAGTGCATGAACATTGGCTGATTGGATCGTCCAGACCAGCCATTTCATGGAAAGTCTGGTGGCCTGGGGAGGTCACCCTGTATCTAATCAGGAGGTGTGATCCAGGCAGGTGCGGCTTCCAAAGAAGGAGCCACGACGTCGATGGGAAATGCAAAAGTGCGCCTTGAGGGGAGTGAGTCATCCAAAGTGGTCTGGCACCTGCCATCTGCCGAGAGATGCCAGGAAGCCTTCGTCTGAAGCCAAGACCGATGCCTCACCTCCATTGCAGGAGACAGATGCCCAGACCTGGGCCAGAATCGCGTCATGGAATTGATTGGTTTTCCGGTCTTTGAAACCCCAAAAAGTGTATCTCACCAACCAACCAACCAACCGACCGACCGACCGACCGACCGACCGACCGACCGACCAACCAACCAACCGGTTGGTTGGTTGGTTGGTTGGTTGGTTGGTTGGTTGGTTGATCCTCAAACGCCCAACCGCCCAACCGCCCAACCGGGGGCAACCGGGGGGGGGGGGGGCAGGGATCCCCAATGGCAATTCTTCCAGTCCTTGGGCAACCCTTTCCGCTTCGGAATTGACAGGAGCTGAGCGTGAAGGCTCTGAAGGCGCGCCTGGCGCAGCACGGCTTAGACGCCGGGACCTGCGTGGAGAAAGCGGAGCTGCAGGCCTTTGGGCGACCTGGGCTCCGTGGATTCGGGAGAGGGAAAGCACATGGACAATGCACATGGGAGCTGCGTTGACCTGTTTCTTTTTGTAGATATGGGGCCGGAATCAAAGATCGCAGTTTTTGTTTGGGGGGCAAAAGCTGTGTTAGATGAGTGTTAGGGACCGGCAGGTTTCCCTTTTGGTTTCCCTTTAGAACCACAAAACAGAGGTATGCTCAAAAGAAGACACTCCCACACGAGGTTTGGCCAACATATGCAGTCTGTTGTCAATCGTAATTTGGGAGGGCGTTGGAAGGCTCAATCGATTTCTCACAAAGCCCGACACGCGAGACCGTGGCTCACATGAGTGTTTCAATAAACGGGCACTCCTGTTGGTTGTACACAAACGTAAACACTGGTGGCTCTGCACGGTGTCACATGGCTCAGAGAATGAACGTGCAAAGTGTGGCGAGGATGCTTCCTTCGAAACACCAAGCAGCAGGCCCTTTGAGCTCAACGCGCCGTTGCCAGGCGATGTGGGAGCGCTTTGAGACCTGGCGGCGGAGACCATTGTCTGAACTGCAGGACCATTGCGACTCGGCGACACAGGAACTGCTGGCCGCGTGTTTGTTAAAGTTTTTTTTTCAGGTTAGACAGGGAGACCGCAAGTTCAACCACCCATGACCCTCTATTTTGAGACCCCAGTCAAAGAAGCCCTCAGAGTTACGGTCAGGGAAATGTGAGGTTCTCTTGCGTTTGGCACGTTTTGCCTGTGACGTCAGGTTCGTCAAAACACGGTCAGTTGGGGAGGGACATGGGAAGCTCTAAGTTTCCCAGAATACTGTAAGCGTTTGCAAGGGTGGCCAGTTGGATGGGCTGAAAGAGCCGACTTGCGCTAGGTCAGATTGAAGGCGGCTCGCGCTTTGAGACTGCCGAAGAGTGCGCCAGATACTTGACAACGTGCGGAGCTAAGACGTGAGACGTGAACAGCAAAAGTCAGCCAGACAAACGTCTCTAGCCTCTAGCATTCTCACTTTTTTCTTTGTTTCGGGGGGGGGGGGGGGGGCGGTGACGTTTTGTTGAGTCCTGTTTTTACCATCAGGTGTTCGAGGGTTCAACAGATGCTTCCGGGCAGTTGGATCCGTAGGCCTCGGCAGCCTGCAGTGCGTGTCGCTTGGCAAAAAAAGAAACACTAGCGCAAGTCGATCTGGCAGTGCTGGAAAGGACACATTCGGATGCCTCCCCCATCACAAGAATGTATTCCTTCGACGGAATTCTTCTGTTAAGAGAGGCTGACAGGAGCAGCTGGCAGTGCTGGAGTCTATTAGTTGGGATATTGGGAGCTCGCCAGGCGGCACGTGTGGCACCGCCCTCCGCACCGGCACCAGCAGTTCCTTCGGCGCCCGCGACGTGTTCGACGACCTCGCCCGGTGGGCCAGCGGCAGCAGTCGACCGGGAGCAGGCGCAGTCCGGTGGGAGAGAGTTATTTACTCGATGTTGGTATTTATGTTTGGTTGTTTGGCTTGCCATTCGTGGGAAGCAACTGAAAGCTTTGTGCTGGCCTCAAACAGTAGCACGAGGGGTTCCTCAAATCACCAGAAACTCAACTTACTTTGTGGTTGTTCCAAAGAAGGAATCTACTTGTCAGCCCCCAAAATACCCGCCTTTCCTCATTGACAAAACGGGGATCCAGTTTGAGGACCTCGAAAGGTAAACCGTGGCACCGGAAGAATGGAACACCCACCTATGTTTGACGTTCGAGACACGTAGCCACGGCACAGCCGAGAGCGTCAGGATGCGAAGAGCGAAGCTGGCCGTATGCCCGGCTTCTTGCCACGGGAGCATGTTCGCGCCTTCCATGTAGTTGGCTGCCTCAATTTGTTTGGCATCCACGCGTCTTTTTGCATGTATTTCATTGCCAGGTATTCTGCCTCTGCGCCGGGAATCCTTTATGAACCCCACTTCCTGGGGTTTTGCTGTCCTCGGGGTGCCGACCTGAGCTTTGCGACAATTCGGTTCGGGCATGGACCATGGACATTCCATTGGTTTGATTCAGCCGGAATCACCCGCCACGGGGAACACCAAGCCACAAATAACCCCGATGCTGCGAGAAAACGCAAGGTGCCTACAGCCACGAAGGAGGTTTCCACAGTGCAGCGCGCATACAGGTCCTTGATGAGGACAGAACCCGGTCTGCACAGACTCAGAGACTGAGATTGGGATGCAAAGTAGCAAGACTCGGTGGAAGCTGTTCAAAAGGATGCCAAAAAGAAAGCCAAGGGGGCCAAGGCATATCCAGCCTGGAGGGCACGCGGGACCACCATCCTTCCCAAAAGGCGCGTGCCGCAGGAAGCTTCACCCGGACCGGGCGGGGCAGTCCGAAGACGTGGTCAAGGCCGTGGAGAAGGTCCGGGAGGTGCGGAGCGCGATTCCCGCGTTTGGACGGAGATCGGTGGGGATGGTTCTCCCAGCTTGTTTTTTCTTGGAGCAGTTGTGAGTATGTGGGGTGTGGGTGGTTGGAGTTTTTGGCTTTCTTCTTTTCTCAGAAGGATGGGACATCCAAGCCAAAAAGAGCTTTAATGGGAAGGATTTGAATATTTTTGGGGTGGGTTTTGTTAAAGGGTCAGCCCAATAGGCAACATCCCTTTGATTTACCATGGGTGTTGCGAGGTCTTGATGACTCAAACGGGTTTGGTAGGCAAAAGGAACACCCGAGACTGAGTGGTGCTCCCACCAATTTGCGCCAGTTGAACCTCTGTGTGGTCGGAGAGTTGGGTTTTGGTTTAGGGTTTAGGGCCTGAGGTTCTTTCACGAAGATCCTGAAACCGTGAGGGGCACGGGCCGGCAGGGATATTGTTCTCGGGGCCCTTTCAGACAAATCCGGGACCTGGGCGAGAATCACGAGGATAGCAAACCTGCCCGTCTCATGAATGGTTGAGCCAACATGGCATTGAAAGGGAAACACAACACTTGGCTCACGCCTCTGGGGTGGTAGGGCTAGTGGTATGTCCAAATCTAGGGTGCGCTCTCTTTTTTCAAAGTCGGGCTAGCTGGGAGCGACAGTAATTTCACCCAAAACAAAACCACAAGGATGGACCTGGAATCTAAGACACCAACTGGAGTCCAACTCATGTTGAGACACACGCAGCTTTTGGCATGTTCCAAGTGCAGTTATGAGGTCTGGCACTTCGCCTGATTTCCGTAAGTCTGCGAATGAGTTTTAGCAATCATAATACCACATAAGTATACATAACTGTGCACACATTGAGAAGGCGCCCAAAGTCAATACTGGGTTTGACACACAGCCATTGCGTTATTGTACTGATGTCTTACACGTGGAACACCCTCAAACATGGTCGGTGTGATACAGCACCGCATGATGTATTTCTGATGAGCCCATTGACCCATTGCAACTCATGCACATTTGAGGTGGTCATCGTCAAACAAACCATCTTGGAATATTTTCCTGGTTGAAGCACATGAGGTTCGCTGAAACTATCCAGTAGTCGGCAGTATTTTGGGAGGGACATTGGGGCACTCACTTTGTGCACAAACACCTCTTGCCCTTCCGAGCAAACATTTTGATCGTTGCCCCGTTGCCCATATCCACTTCAGCAATTCACGCTTGTGTTTCTACCTTCAGCCCGAGTGACAGGCGAAGGAGGCCTGCGAGCGCGGCTTATCGCGGCAGGAGCCGCGCGGGAGCTTGGCTTCAGATTCCAGTGGGGGGGGGCGGCATGGACACTTCCGGTTTTTGCAGCCCAGAGCCCTGGTCTTTCCCGCCTCCCGCCGACCTAGGCCCGAGCCGCCGCGGCAGCTGCGCTCCGCCTGCCTGGCGGATTCAGATCAAAGGGGCGCCCGGTTGGTCGTATTGCTCGGACAATGCCAAGAGGGGTTACAAGCAAACCCACACATTTGTTGGGTCCCCGAGAGAGAGAGTAAGAGAGAAAAACCGAGTGGGAGATAGATGCGGTTACAAGAGAGACTTTGTGAACCACGAAATGCTCAAAGACCTATTGTTTGAGAATTTCTTCTTTGATGCGCAAAGGGAATTAATAAGATCTTGTAGGTCCCTCTGCATGGTTTGGGAGTGCATCGACATCAAAGGGCCTCCCTGGGTTGCAGAATGGCCGTCAATCATTTGCGCCGCTTTCTTGCACATTGCCGGCATGGAAAGCAACTTCCCGGGCCGGGGAGAGAGAGAGCGGACCTCGAGGGCTGAGTCTTGAGCGTCCATCACAGGGGACACCCCATCCGAAAGGAGCCCTTTTGGGACACCCCAAGTCCCGTGTTGGAAGCATCCCATGCCAGGAAGCCTTGTGCAGCACGCCGGGGCGGCGAAGGTTTCAGCTCTGCCGCTAGCCCAGCCTGGCGACTTGCAAATCCAAAAAACGTGCAGAGTGCTCCAAAATTTAAGGGCCAATTTGCATACCCCAAATGGACATACCCTAGAAAAGAGTGGTTCTGCATGAGATACACAGGGTACATACCCCTCACCATCCCTATACCAGGCCAATAGGTGTGGAATGTCAATGTAGGTTGGCCTGAAGAATAAAATGGAATATAGAACTGGCGCCATTCTTTTGTTTAGCCCAATGTGTCACTCGTATGTATTATTGCGTGACGCAGTCTTCCAAGGGCTGAGAACCCCGAATCCGCACGAGGCTGGACGGCGCCGCCGGTACGCGAGTCTGCGCCAGATGCCTCAGACTGCACCAAGAGCAGACATGAAAGAATATGACAAGCAGAAAGGGGGATGCCTGGATAGACGCCGGGGATGGCATTGGATTTGATTTGAATCCATTCAGCACGCAGGCTGCAGGCTTGTGTGAGGTCCACGCACGTGTTGCCAGGTCCGTGCGCAGGTACATTGTTGCAGCCCACGATCCTGCGTGCGCCTTGCAGCTGGGTGGGTTGTGTTTGGACGTGGGTTGCAACCTGTAGGCGAGCTGCTGGGCTGTTGGTCTTGGCTGGAGGTACGGCAGGGCTTTAACCATCACCGTCCTTGAGCCAGACTATAGCCAGGCAGGTGACAATCATGGTTCCGAATTGGGCCTTGGAGAGCAGGCGCTTGAGGCCAAAGCCTCACGAGGAACCCGAGTGGGGGGGAACTTTGAGCACCAGGAGGCATCGACACCCGGCTCCCATTCTCGCTTGCTCCTTTTGCCTTGTTTTAGCAAGCCCATAAGCGACCGACCGACCAACCGACCTACTGACCGCCCGCCTGCCCGCCCGCCCGCCCACCCACCGTCTTTCCTGACAACTTGGTGGTCCAGCTCATGACCAGTACCACATTGAGGGCATACCGGAAACGGCAAAGGGCCAACTCGGGGGCCATCAAGACCTTGTGTGCGATGGTCAATTCGCCCCACCGCATGGAGTTGACAAATGCGATCATTGACACATTTCGAAGGATTCCTTTTCATGGCGCCGGGGCAAGCTCTAGGCATCATCTTCAATCAATACTCATGTTTCAGAGGTGTTTTACTCATTTTCACAGGCTCCCCTTTAGCTGCGCCACAGGAGCTGCGCAGCTTCGTGGCCATCGAGAGCCTCACTTCCTACGCCGCACCCTTGGGGTGTCCAAGGATCGTTAGGAAAGCTGCCGGCTCCAAATGACAGGTCTAAAACTCGTACGCGCATCTTGTGAGAGAACACATTGCGAAACCTGGCTCGTTTTGCTGGCCATGGAAAACTAGGACAGTAGAAGATCCTTGTGAAACCAGCGGACGTGCATGTGGATGTGCAGTTGCAGATGAGCGCCCTCGAACTTGTCTCAGAAGTGAAAAGGGCTTTACCCTGACATCCCAGGGTGCTTGCACTCCCTGCCCGTAATTGAATGTACCAGCATGCAACAATTCGTACCATCATACGTTGGGGCTGTTTGGAGATCCCTGTCAACTCTAGTGAACATCCAGTTGTTTCCTGTGTGCTTCAGTGCAAATCAAGCCAGTTTCACTTCAACTATTCGATGAGCTTGCTTTTTGGCTACTGGATTTTCACTCTCATGGCGCGGAATCTTAACTGGAGTGGCGCAGGATTTTCACTGGATTTTCACTGGAATGGCACGACTTTCACTAGAGTTTCGGAAGTTTCACTGGTATGGCATTCGTTTTTTTTTGGAGTGGAACAGGGTTTTTGGTGGAGTGAACCTGGACTTTCACTGCAACGGCAGAGAATTTTAACTGGATTTGCACTGGAGTTTCACTGTGAGTGAGAATTTCACTGGAGTGGAAATAGATGTTCACTGGAATGGCACGGGATGTTAACTGGAGAAGGGCAACTTTTGAATTATTTGGCCCATAGCGTGGGCTGTGGCAAGTTGGCAAGGCCCCAAACCAATCACTGTTTTGACCTGGTGAACGCACGAATTCTATGGGAGTTTGCCTTTGTTCGCTTGCAGGGAACAGCAGCGGCCTTGTTTAAAGTGTTCCCGTATGAAGAATGACCGAGATCCGAAGCATGTGCACATGCATGCATAAGCAGAGTTGCTGCTCGGCGCATAGTATCAATGCAGGGGCATTCCATGTTGCTGCTGGCTTTGCACCAGGTCATCGC